TGAGGTGAGCGAGAGGGTACCCTCCTGGCGCCGCGGCGCCCGGGGCCCGCCCGCCCGGCACTCTTCCGGCCGCCAGCCCGCCCGCCGCCCCTCCGCGGCCGCGCCCCACCTGCTGCTCTCGGCTGGCTGCCCCTGGGTCCCGGCCCCTGCCTCCCGGCCGGGGCCCCGCTCCCCAAAGAAGCGGCCCCGCCCGCGCAGTCCCCGGAAGCGCGCCCCGCGGCCTCCCGCGCCCCTTCCCCCGCCCGGCCAGGCCTGGTGGAGCCCCAGCCGCCCGCCCGCGGTCCCCGGCGCTTCCTCTCTCTCACGGCTGCGCCGGGCAGGGCGGGGGCTTCGAGCCGGGCCCGGCAACCGCGCGGTGCAGCCGGCCCCTGCGAAGTGCGCGTGGCTGTCGGAGTTGAAATGGGAAAGAAACTCTTTACAACTCCATTTTGGCTTTACATTGAATATGAAACATGAATCACCGTTTTATACTGGGTGAAGTCCAGTTATGTTTTGGGTACATTTTCTTTTTAAATGTAGTACTCTCGGAGATTGTGTAAGTAAAAAGGTAGTGTTGAAATCTTATGGGTTAGGATTCTTGGGTATTGAAAGGACGTTTTCCTGTTAGACATTTTTTTCATGACTTAAACTATGTTGTATCGAAATAAAGTATTAATTTGCAATTTTGCTTAGTCTCAGTTACTACCTTGATTAGGAATCACCTAAACATATCCTTAGTTACCGATTGACTCAGTTACGAGGCATCATTATTAAATAGCACTGTTGGCAGTTAAATCGATTTGGTCAAAAGCATGTTTAGTAGTCTGCGGTGGAAAACTGGCATCCTTTTTGCCTCAGAATTGGTTCCACTTGTGTTTTTTAATGGTCCTGATTTAAAATTTTTACCAGCGTTAGTGACTTGTTTGGTTCTTTTTGTGTTTAAGATTGTCTTTTGAAGTAAATGTTTCTTGCAGGTGTGTAATCACATTATAGTCCTCCCTGCCAGATCTGAAGGGGAAAAATACTTTAAAAAATGTCTTAAAAATGTTATATGTGGTGAGAATTTTTCAACCATTCAGTGTCAAACACCCAAATGTGTAAGGTGTGTGTACTATTGCATGATTGTCGTTTTGAACATACCGGTTTGAGCTTTGGGCACGAGTGACATTGTTTGGACTGAAGGTACAAGACTAATTCCTAATTGTGAAGGATAACTTACTAAAGGATCTCTTTTGATAAATTATCTTAAGAATAGTACCATCTACTTTTGTAGAGCACTGGTGGCCCATGGGGACGTGACAAAATAGAAGACAACTTGCTTTAAGTCAGTCTAGTCCTAGAGTTATCACCTCTGTTCTCATAAAAGTCTGTACTAGAGAGAAGAAAATAGGGACCCACTGACTTTTTCATAGATCCAGAATTTTAGACCCGAAAGGAATCTTCAGGACTTCTATAGTCCAACCCCATTTGCAGATGAGGAAACTGAATTCCAGAGACTTTTGTAAATATACCAACCTTATATGTCTAGTCACGTACAGGCCAAAACTATTTTGTCTGTGTGGTATTTTCCTTGTACTCCTAAACAGCTTGCTTAGAGTTAAGTAAAAATTCAGGATTTAACAACTTGTTTCCAGTGCTTTCTCCATTTATGTATTACTGATATGTTGTGAGAATCTGAAAAATTCATTAAAAAAAATTTTTTTAATGTTTATTTTTGAGAGAGAGAGAGAGGAGAGACACAGCCTGAGAGGGGGAGGGGCAGAGAGAGGGAGACACTGAACAAGAAGCAGGCTACAGGCTCTGAGCTGTTAGCACAGAGCCTGATGCAGGGCTCGAACTCACAAACTGCCAGATCATTACCTGAGCTGAAGTTGGACGCCCAACCGACTTAGCCACCCTGGCACCCCGAAAAATTCATTTTCTAAACAAATTTCAGTTATTTAGCCTTAACACTCTCCTCCCTGCAACTGGGTGGTCCTGCAGCCGTTGATTGAAATAGATAAATGAATATACAGGGTCCCCGCTTGGCCTAGTTTTGGCTTTCGGTGTTTGGGTCTTCTTAGGGACAAGCTTCTTCCACAGGGAGGCCCAGACTCCTGTTCCAAATCCCACATAATTAGGTCAGGCTAAGATGTTGTCATGTGACTGAGGGCTGTTTTGACTATTGATTTGAGGTGGGATGGAGAGAAACTGCACATATCAAGTAAATAGTTCCCTGTGTATTATGTGTGTGGTAGTGGTTTTGCTGGAGTATTCTCATAGTCTTCATTCATATTAGAGTGAAAACAGGTAGATCTTGAGGTGTTTCCTCAAGGAATTAGTGGAGTTGAAGCAGTGACCAGAGAAGTTGCTACTTAGGGTTTTCTTAGTTGTCCTAGAGCTGAGATTTATGTTAACTCAGAAGGAAGACTGATGTTTCAACTTCTAAGAGAACTAATCTGGGCATGCTGAGCTTCTATAGACAGGGCTTTGGGTTTTATTGCATTATGGCGACTAATGATAAAGCTAAATGGTACATACTCACTGGATTTTAATCACATATGTTTGTAGTAGTAAAAGGTAACTAAAAGTTACTTAACCTTCCTGTACCACTTTATCCCTTTATGCCCCTGGCCAGTGGAACTTAGTTTGCCTGCACCTACACATTAACGTAACTAAATTGTAAAATTGTGTTAATGTGTCTTAACTACACTCTTGATCTTTGGGTATATGCTCACTGTTAAGTACTTGTGAGATTACTAAATTAAAATTTCCAAGATAGTTTAAAGTTCGTAATTAATGTAAAATTCCTATTTCAAGTGTTTCTATTTCAAATGACTCATTTATAGTCTGTGGTACTGCAGTATTAAGTGAAGACCTTGTATACTCATAATTATGGTAGTCATGTGACTAAAAATCAGGTAGGCATTGAAGGTGCTCATTCTGGGTGTTGGTCTGAATTTATTGGTGGTTCTTCCAGATGATTCTGAATAACATTTTATAGTTAACAATGGTCAGAATATGAGATACACTGTTACATCTTAGCCAGTTTGCAGTTTGTCTCAAACTGAGCTTGATTTTTTTTTTTTTTTTTTTTTTTTTTTTTGTGAAGAGGGTGGATAAAGTAAATACGTTTAATTAGGCATGTTTATAATAGTATCTTACTATTCAAGTGAAGGTAGAAAGAAGAACATAAGCAACTGAAATGTTTGGAGTGGTGTAAAGGGAGAAGAAGAAGGTAAAATGAAAGAGAGGTGACCAGAGACCAGATCATGTTGAGGCTTTTAGGATATAGGAAGTTCTTTGGGTTTGTCCTGAGATGAGAAATCATTAGATGTTTTTTAGCAGGGGAATGATATGATTTGATATTAAATAACTAGAATCCCTCACTAAGATCGGAGTCCATTCTGACTTTATGTTTTAAAAGTTTAAGGGGCGTCTGGGTGGCTCAGTCAGTTAAGCTTCTGACTTTGGCTCAGGTCATGATCTCGCAGTTCATGGGTTCGAGTCCTGTGTTGGGCTCTGTGCTGACAGCTGGAGCCTGGAGCTTGCTTCAGATCCTGTGTCTCCCTCTCTCTCTCTCTCTGCCCCTCCCCAACTTGTCGCACGCTCTATCTCCCTCTTTTTCTCTCACTCAAAACTAAATAAATAGACATAAAAAAACGTTTAGGGGCGCCTGGGTGGCTCAGTTGGCTCAGGTCATGATCTCACGGTTTGTGGGTTCGAGCCCTGCGTTGTGCTCTGCGCTGACAGCTCAGATCCTGGAGCCTGTTTTAGATTCTGTGTCTCCTTCTCTCTCTGCCCCTCCCCAACTTGTGCTCTTTCTCTGTCTCTCAATAATGAATAACAGTAAAAATAAAAAAAGAAAGAAAGAAAAAGAAATTAAAAAATGTTTAGGGGCACCTGGGTGGCTCAGTTGGTTAAATGTCCAACTGCAGCTCACTCAGGTCATGATCTTGTGGTCTGTGAGTTCGAGCCCCGCATCGGGTTCTGTGCTGACAGCTTAGAGCCTGGAACCTGCTTCAGATTCTGTGTCTCCCTCTCTCTCTCTGCCCCTCCTCCACTCATGCTCTGTCTCCATCTCTCAAAAATGAATAAACATTAAAAAATTTTTTTTTAAAAAGT